AAATTTTATTAGACAAATTTAATTTAATATTAAAAAATAATAATTTTGGTGTCTACTAAAATTTAAATTATTTGAATTTTACATTAAATGAGCTTTTAATCAACTAACAACAAAACAATAGATTAAGGTAGAAAAAAGTGACATTACATTATATTAAAACTAAATATTAATTTTTTATTATGTATTTGTTATACATCTAGTTATTTATAATTATTGTTTGAAAAGAATAATTGATAGAAATATTTTTTAGAAATTTAATTAAGACTTTTCAAATTAAAGATTTGACCTAATAAATTAATTAAATATTATTATAATTGTTTAAAAAATATTTAGAATTTTCTTACAATTTTGTGCATATATAAAACCGTTTATAAATTAAAATAAATAAATCATAAAATTTACCTTCTCGAGGTTTTGTTTTATTTTGGTTCAAAATGTTAGATTCGGGTTCCTTCTCAAACGTAGTTTCTCCAAAATCAGGATTTCCGTCTTCTGCGGCTGTTGTCTCCCCACAGTCAAGAGTATGTAAATACTTTTCTAATCTTTTAAGACCTTTTTCATATGACGCTATAAAAAGCTTATTCGTGTTAGAATTTTCTTTATTATTCTAACAAAGTTTCAGGATAGGTTTGAGAAAGTATTGACTTACGACACAATTATAAGAACCCATTAAATTTATTAAATAGTTACTGCAATTAAAATATTAAAAGATTAAGTAATTAAAAACAATATAAATCTCGCAGGTTACTGCCTTTTTATAATTCACGAACATTTTCGACAAACGCGACCATTCTCATCGCCCATGCGAATCTATCCAATTTCCCTCGTCTTATTTTCTCTCGCATTCTGCGATAAGGTTTACCGCAAAATTCTTTTCTACATGACTTACGTTAATATTTCCTTAAAAACGGAAATAGGAGTTTTCCAACGAAATTTTTTTTTTGAATTTGGTCTTTTAAGAGCCTTCTAAAGTGTATTAGTACCTTGATAAACCCTCTAAAAAATCCTATTTCTTTTCCATTTTTCCAAAAATACATCATCACATAAGTATAAGTCTTTTTTTGCCTCTAGAGTGGTGTTTCCCCTTAAAAAATTGAATTTTCTTAGGACATTTTAATAATAATCATTGATTTAAAATTAAATGTCGTAGTTGTTTGTATAATATGATGTTTTAAACATGCCTAAGGTAGTAAAAGTTATTGCATTGAGAATGGTTTGTTGGGGCATTTTACGTCAGAAATATCACAATTTGCAAAACTTAGGCCGATTATTGCAAAACTTCGTGGGACTATATTTGTATATGAGGCATTATTCCTGAACTGCCCCAAAAATAAAAAAAAGTTCTTGGATTTCCTTTATACTTTGGAAATATGTTAGCCTAGTAGGTACAAGTTACTACACCAATTTACAGGTCCAACCCCCCACCCCAATCAAAAGGGTGGGGGGTTGAAATTTCAGCTTCAACTCGAACATGCATTCTTTAAACATTTGTAGTTTCTACTTAAATTATTCAATTAAAAAAAGTAAGTAGTGTTTTAGAAAGGTTTTTTTGTGTACTTTTAAAATATTTTATTTATATAATAAAAAAAATTTTTTTGCAAAAATTTTTTAAAATAAATAGTTTTTTGCAATTTTGTGCAAGTTCGGTAGTTTTTATTTTCTTTTTAATAATCTCAAATGAAAGCTTGGGAATTCCCCTAAAAGAAGATATAAGTCTGAAAATGGGCCGAAACAATTTGCCAAAGATATAGTGTAATAAGTAAAATTTGTCCGTCCGCTCGCGCACTCCATTTGTTTAAAAATGAAAAGTTTGTTTATAACAAATGTAATTGTTTGAGCTAATAAATTTTTTAAGTTTTTGAAAGAATGTACATATGATATAAATATTTAAAGTTTAAAAAATGACGAAAATGTTTACAAATACAAAAGAAAGTTGATTATTGTTTATATAATTGTTAATATTAATGATAATTCTTAACTGTAAAATAGTTTTTTACTAAATTAGACATAAATTTAAACTTGTCTGCAAAAAAACCAATTTTTTTTATGAAGAAGGTCCGAAGTAATCTATTTGTTAATTAACATTGTTTGCAACAATTTAAATAAATTGTATTATGCTTTATTAATTGTCCGCTGGTCATACTAGACTAATTTAAATTGATTTCGATCATGTGTAATGGAAAAATAAAAAAACTAACATGATTTTTTCTAAAAATATTGTAATTTGTCAAATTTTTGAGTAACAAGAAAAAAATAAACAATTAAAAATTCAAAAATCGACTTTGATGGATCTCTTCGTAGTTTTAAATCAAGAACATCAACATCCGATAAAATTTGTAGTTTCTAGACAATTTTCAATAGTAAGTTGAAAAAAAATCCCACTGTTCATCGCGCTGGAGTGCGCGAGCGGACGGACAAATTTTACTTATTACACTATATCTTTGGCAAATTGTTTCGGCCCATTTTCAGACTTATATCTTCTTTTAGGGGAATTCCCAAGCTTTCATTTGAGATTATTAAAAAGAAAATAAAAACTACCGAACTTGCACAAAATTGCAAAAAACTATTTATTTTAAAAAATTTTTGCAAAAAAAATTTTTTTTTTATTATAAAAATAAAATATTTTAAAAGTACACAAAAAAACCTTTCTAAAACACTACTTACTTTTTTTAATTGAATAATTTAAGTAGAAACTACAAATGTTTAAAGAATGCATGTTCGAGTTGAAGCTGAAATTTCAACCCCCCACCCTTTTGATTGGGGTGGGGGGTTGGACCTGTAAATTGGTGTAGTAACTTGTACCTACTAGGCTAACATGTTTCCAAAGTATAAAGGAAATCCAAGAACTTTTTTTTATTTTTGGGGCAGTTCAGGAATAATGCCTCATATAAGAGACTTTATTCCCCCAAAAATTAATTTTTTTTAATTCAAAATTAGGGTAGAGTGGGGTAAAAAAGCCATGGTGTAAAAAAGCCATTTGAGTTTTATTTAAAAACTATTAAGCCGATTTATCAGCTGTTTAGAATATAAATACTATTAGGTAATACGCAACTTTTGAATCTAATTTGAATGTTGTACCTAGATTAATATTGTTTTTATTGTAATTTTAATTTTTTGTTGCTTTTTTGAAAACATTTTGGTGAACTTTTCAAACATATTACAATTTGATTAAGTGAACGAATAATAAAAGTAAATGTTTGTACATAAGGAGAAAAGTATACCGAAAACGTATACAATGTTAATTTTTGGAAATTGAAGTGAATTAACAATTTATTTTTGCTTTTTTTAATAACTGGTCTTGGGTGTAAAAAAGCCAGGGCAAAAAATCCATTGAATATTTTGTGAAATTCACTTGTTTTCTATTTAAACTAACCTTCTTATTTTACAAAATTTCTCGTGTTTATTTAATAAAATAAATTAAACACGACGAAAAAGTAGTTCAAAGTGCATTTAAAAAATAAACAATGAATAAACGGTTGCAACGAAATATGTTATCTGTGGTAAAACTTAAAGAGAACTTCTAAAAAAGGTACGAAAAATTGGCAGTGCAAATGGAAAACAGGTAAACTTAATATAATTTTCAATTTTGCTTGCTAAAAACTCTTTCATAATTATTAGAATATTTTTCAAATAAGACTATTTGTCATATAAATAAAGGGAAACTATAAAAATACCTAAATTGATAACATGTTTTGCTAAAATCGTAGGGTGGCTTTTTCACCCCACCAGGTGGTGCAAAAAAGCCACTTGCAGTGCTTTCGTAAAACTCTTATAACTTAGTCCTTTCATGAGATAAAAAATATTTCCGTCAAGAATTTTCAAGCTTAATAACTAAACTTTCAATAACAATTGGAAATTTGAGAAAAAAATTTTAAGTACAGATTTTACAGCATCAAAAGTAAAAATGTGGCTTTTTTACCCCACTCTACCCTATTGAAAATACGCCATTTTGAATTTTAATATTTTTATAAAATTTTGAATATCTCGGAATATTGTATATGGTTTTTTAATGAAATTTACATTTTTTCAATATGTTCCGCCAAATTTAAAAATCTAGAAAAATTATATGTTAAAGTTGACATTTTTAGAGATATTTTTGTCACAATTAAAAAGTGGTACCTCTGCAATAGCCCTGTTAAAAAAAAATTTCAAAATTTCAAAAAAAAATTTCAGGGTTTTTTTGGGCAAAAATTTTTCAGTATTTTTTTTATAATTCGTCTTTTGATTCTACAAAAAAGCATATTTTGAAATTAAAATCGGTTGAGCCAACTTTTAGTAATAATTTAAACTGTTTTGGAGCGAAGACTGATTTTCCATTCTTATTCCGCTATAATACACTTTAGAAAGATTTTAAATTTTGTTAACGCTCACCAAATATTGTCCATTGTTGACTTTAATAGCTGCGAATTTGTCTAAATATTGTTCTACAGATAATTTATCTACTTTTAAAAAATTTTGTCTAATCAGAAAAGTAGCATTGCAATACGCGACTTTCGGGCTTACAATGACTTTGAAGCCAAGAAATCTGATTAACTGATGACTCTAAAAAATATTTAGACGTAAATAATGTGCCTCATACATGCTGTAGATACATGTTTCATCAATTTAGTACCCCTTAAAGTTAATGGTGCTGACGCTCCACATTCAACTGAGTATTTCCTCATCAATTTGCAGGCACTAAGGCATTTCGAGATCTGTTTATCTAAACCATTTAGTGATGCAATATCGAAACAAAAATATCGATATCGATTAAATCGATATTGCTTATAGTGAATATCGATATGACCAATATATCGTACCAACAATATCGATTATTCGATTAATCGATGTAATTTTAAAACTTTCTACAAAACTATTATTTATAAAGGTTTAGTTAAAATTAAAAGTAATTAAATATGTGATACATATAATTAAAGCAATATTTATGGTACAATAATTATTGTGAAATTTTTTATTTTAATCTTAAGAAAGAAATATTAAATTACAAAAATAGAATTACAAAATTTATTTATAACGCATCATATTCGCTTGCCGATCATCCTTCCGGGTCATATAACTTCAACTGAAAAAATTTGTTTTATTATCAGATTAAGGCAAATTTTTTATGTTTTCATGTCTATTATTTTTAATACTTACTCAAAATATGTACTGTCAATTGCAAGTGACTGCACTAGATCCGAAGTCACCTTTTTTCGAGATTTGCGAATTTTATTAGAACCATTAAACGCTTTAATTATCCTAGAACAGAAAACAATTTACATTATCTTAAGGTTCTTAATGTAAGATTTTCAATATGTTACAAAAATGAAATGTAAGGAAATAAAGGTAAGGATTTACTTTAAACGCAAGGTCTTCACGCAGAATACACGGTCTTTAATTTACCAAAGAGCTTCGTCGACTGCTCCCAAAAAAAGTTGCTTATGAAGTTTACTTCCTTCAAGTCGGTTTCTCTTTTCGTTCATTAAAATGCCAGTTTTCGAAAACAACCTTTCTGAAGGTACTGATGTAGCAACTACTGTAAGATATTTCAACGCAATCTGAGATAATGTAGGGTAAATATGCTCCATTTCCACCCAAAAGCGTATAGGATCAGTTTCGAAGTGAGAAACTTCAGATCGAAGATAAAGCGTTAGTTCATCTGCATAGCCACTATCCGATAGCTCCTTTCTTCCTCGTTTGGCATTTTGCACGCAATCTGTATAATATTTCCAAAGTGAAGACTTTTCTTTACTTTCTGTAAAAAAGATAGTTATGGTTCAATAAAAAAATTTTGTTTAATATGATTTTAAATAGTAATTATTTTGTTAATATTTAATTTATTTAATATTATTTGGAAGTACAAAATAAAAATATATTAACTGACCTTCTGACTCATTATTCGTATCTCCATCAGAATCGAGTTCTCGTTCAGTAGAATTGTTACTCTTGATTTCCAGAAATAATCTGTTGATTTGACTTATTGCACGTGCACACTCTGTTGGTTGCTTAAACACCACTTTTTTGAACCTCGGATCTAAGATTGTAGCAATAGCAAAAAAGTGGCAGGATTCCATGAGTCCAAATCTGCGAAGAATTTCTTTTAAAAGATTTTCTTTCAAAACTGAAGCTACTTGGTGTTCAAGAACTAGATTCTCCAACTCTCTCTGCAATCCATTTATTAGTGGTATCACCATACTGGTTGTGACATATTTTTGACCACACAAATCTCTCGTAGCTGATTCCAAAGGACGGAGTACATTTGTCAGCTCTTTTAGTATCTCTAATTCGGCAGCAGTAACCGCAGGAGGCGCTGAGGAAAAATCATCTAAAATTTCGTTTACAATTTTTCGTAGTTCGATGAATCTCTCGATCATGTAAAACGTTGAATTCCAACGTGTTTCAACGTCTTGAATTAATTTTAATTTACTTTTTTTGCGCAGCAAGTCGGTAGCGTTGACACTTCTTTTGAACCATGTTACAATAGTTTTTACTTTTTTTATCACGTTATCCAATCCGTCAATTTTCTTGATAGAATCCGTTGCTACTAAATTTATAGTATGAGCACAACATCCCAAGCGATGATTTTTCCCAAGAAATAATTCAACGGCAAGCGCCATATTTGCCGCATTATCAGTAACGATGGCTGTGATAATACTTTTATCTATTTCCCATTCTGCGCATACTTTTTCGAGTATTTCTTTGATGTATATTGCAGTGTGACTTTCAGTCAGTTCATGTACACCCAGTATTCCCGACATAAATTGATCTTTATCACGAAAATGAACGGTAACACCAAGAAAGCTCCGTGTGTTTTTACTTTCTGTCCAAATATCTGTAGTTAGTGTTACGCACGTTACGTTTTTCAGAAGTATCTTATACTTTTGAGATACTGTGTCGTATTTTGAATCCAAGTGATTAATAAACGTTTGTCTAGAAGGTACTTTATAATTCGGAACTGCATATTTCATCATTTTTATAAATCCCTCTCTTTCTACCATTGAAAACGGTTCACTATCTTTACAGATCATAAATAAGATTTTATCTGTTAGATTTTTGTGTTTAGTGCCTCCTTCTTGAAATGATGAAATATTTTTAAATGAATATTTAATATTTTCCCTGCCTGATTGTTCGCTTGGCTCAGTAGTCGTCAAAGATTCGCTTGCACTAGAACTAACAGATTCATTGTTTTGAGCACTAGTTGATTTGTTAGTCGACGATGAATTTTCCTTATTTTCGTGTTTCCGTTTGAGGTTGGATTTTTTTTCATCAATTTCTATCATAAGAGCGTTATACATCTCAACATGATTCGCCTTTAAATGGTTAAACATATTTGTAGTGTTTCCAGAACATTTCACTAGCGAATGAGGACCTGAGCAATATTTACATTGCATGAGGTTTTTCTGATCTGTAGGTAAAAAGTGCTTTCGCACAGGACTTGGACCACCGCTCATTTTATAAATGCATAGAATTTAGTGATCTGTAAATTAATTATTTAATTATTAATTATTTAAACTTGTAGCAATATATTTACTGAATTATTAACACTATAAATATAATCTTTCGAATGGAAATTTTTTTACATTGTATAGCTAACGAATTAATAACGCGAAATAAGAAATTATAACAATCACTAATAACACAACGTTTAATACAAATAATTTATAATAAATCTCTATAAAAATGAGGTTGAAATATAAAAATGATACGATTTTATTGTATTTTGTGGATCAAATGTATATATATTCACTTGGAGGTTATGTCACGTAAAATGTAAAAAAAAAAGTTTTTTTCAAGTTTCACAATGCTTTTGGAATTTTCAGTTAAGATAAAATAAGGTAAATAGAACGAATTTTATTCTCTAATAATAATATTTTTTGTATACTCGAGTTTATAAAAATTATCATTCGTGTTGTTTCTTGCGCTCAAAGTAAAAATTTTTAGTCGTACGTACCTTTTTAATTGTTCTTATCCTTCTATTTGCGTAGTGATCATTCAAAATATTATCAAATTAGTTCGATTTAATTAACTACACGACATCAATGCGTTAATTTTAAACGTTCAGTTGTTTGTAACTTGTAACTTGACTAAAACTTGACATACAAATACACAGAATACATGCATAGAATATAAATACAAATTACGGTCAGAAGCAGTGCTTCGATATACATTAACGTTAAGTTCACAATCTGCCACACAAAGCTTAAGGGTAGAATCACATGGCGGTGTAAACGTGTGTCGACAAACGATATGTAGTTCAATGTGCAAAACCTCAACGCAAAAAAAACTTAGTCTTTGTCCATACTGAAAATATCGATATCGACAGACCAATATCGATATTTGAATCGATATATCGTTTGTAAGATATCGATATAAAATATCGAAATATTAATACCAAAATATCGATATTTCCGATATTTCGATATCGATATTGCATCACTAAAACCATTTAATCCAAATACGTAAGGTTTTTTTTGATAAGATGTGAGCTTGAGAACGACGTTTAATTAAAAGTTGAATGCATTTGACAATATCACTTCTTAAAAGAACAGGTACAGTTCGACCTAATTTTCTACGTAATTCAATTCGACTATACTCTTTCTCTAACTTTTTTCTTTCCTGTGATAATGATTGAAATATCTGCTTTTTAAAGCACTCGAAGTCCTCTCTATTATCAAAATCTTGGATACCCATTCGCTTAGTTTCTCCTGGCCGTTTTTGATTAAAGAGCAAGATTGAAATAAGTGTAGCTTCTTCCAGTGTTTTGTAATATGAATAAGAGAATTCTGATTTTAAATCGTTGTAAGCTGCAGTTCTTAATTCACTTAAATGCTTATGAAGTTTACCAATATCTTCCAAGGAAGAAAGATCAGGTTTCTTTTGTCGCTTTTTTCTTTGACATAAGTCACGGCTGATTTATTCATGCTGTTTCCGTAGTTTTCTAATAAGACCTTTAAATATTGTTCAGCTTCATGCTGTTGAGATAGATTATTTTCTTCAATACACAGTGTTATTAAGCGTGAGGCACTTATTTGCAACAAATTGAAGAATGATGTTACGATTAAAAAATGCTCATATTTAATGGTAAGTGGATCAAATCCAGCTAATTTTCTCACCGCTTGTTTAGTGTGTTTATTTAATTTTGAACTGAATATTGAAGCCAGATCAGTAACATCTTTACATAATTACACATAAGTTAATAAACAAGAATGTTAAAAAAATGATATTTTCCACAATTTTTTTATTTTTCAAATACCAATAATTTGATAATTTTTGACCGAATCCGGTTAAAAAATAAGTCAATCGAAGCCTTTTTTAATGCTCTACAAACTGGTAATGATACTTTTAAAGTTACTTTTATACTTTTCAACAAAATTTTCAAAAAAGTGTTATTTTCGAAAAATATAGATTTTTAAAACTTTAATATCTTTGGATAATAGGTATAGACGAAAAATGTTTAATGAAAGCTCAAAAGATGCGCCTGAAATAACTCTACAAAATTAAAGAAAAACATTTATAGGTGTCCTAACATTTTTTAAGTTATGGCTCAATTTCAGCTTTAAAAATTGCCTTCGAAAATTAAAAAAAGTTCGATTCTGTCTTCGTGCGGCAACGAATGAGAGAGAAAACAGGAACGAATTTATGCTGGAGAATAATAAATAATGATGTTTCACGAGTAATATAAAGAAACTCGAAAGTTCATCGTTCCCCCGCATGAATTTGTCCCGGTTTTCTCTCTCCTTCGCTGCCGCGCGAACCAAGAATCAAGTCGTCACAGTTGAATTTCAATGCACCAATCGGTTGAAACACGGCTTCACATTTTTAATGATATATCGAAGACGAATTAACCTTTTTTAATTTTCGAAGGCATATTTTAAATTTTAAATTCTAACAAAAAATTCTGTGTTTTCAGAAAAATTTTATCAAACTTTTTCTAAATTTTTGAAAAAGTTGAAATCAAGAGACAAAAATGAGAAAATTTGATAATTTTTTTTATTGCTTTCTCACTCTACAACTTAAAATGTAGTTAACGAAATGACTTCAAAGACGGCTTATTTTACGCAAAATTTAATCAGCTTTCTAACCGTATTCAAGTTTTTTTTGTATCTCCTTTTATTTACGAGATATGATTGGAAAAGTGATGGCATGTTTTTTCATAGAGTTGAATGTAATCGTCCTGATACTCGTGGACGGTAGTGTATTTTATAGAAAAATATTCAAACCGATTAATTAATTAAAATTACGCTAGCTCAATCTTTTCAAGGAAAGCGCGGGGTAAGAGAAATCACCAGTTAGTTTTAATTTTGGTTTAATAAATAAAATTACAGGTCCAGACGGGACCTGTTCAAAATGTACAGAAATGTCGAAAAAAAACAAATAATACATTTTATTTTGATCAATAATCGTTATGAGACAACACATTCAAATATTATGAGACTCACCGAAGATACGCCGACGTCCCCGCATTGTTTGCCCACTCATCTTCGCAGGAGAAAAACACAAGATTACTTTATTAATTAGTTTTTAGGAAAATGGACAGGTGACAGGTCGAATGCAAATAATGGGCCATGCTTGGTGCCCAATGGTTTTTTCTTGGCAAAACAATTGGCAAATATCATTGGACCACCATTGGTTTTAGCTTGGGATGATCATGCTACTGCCAATGATCGGCAGCCAAGCATCGGGCCAATATTAGTTGCCAAGGAATTGCCAAGGAAACAAAATCGATTTTCAAAAGCTTTTTTTTTATTGGCAGACAACAAAAAACCAAGGGTTTGAAAATTGAATTTTTTAATTATTAATTAAAATTTTTTTTTAATTAATAGAACATATTAATTTACTTTTTCACCTCTGGTAAAACAAAGATGAAAGATTGATAAAAATTCCTCCACCGTATATCTCACAGTGGAGGGATGCCTGTGAATGTCTTTGCGGGAAAGGAGCAGGTACTTATAGAGTCAGTGAAATAGGTCACAAGCGAGAAGAAATCACTAGCATGCACTCTGGCGGCGCTTGTCGGAACTGTTTTCTGGCGCGCATACATATCCTGACATTATCGGCACAGCGCTTGCAAACCAACGCTGCGCCACTTCCGACAAGCGCCGCCAGAGTGCATGCTAGTGATTTCTTCTCGCTTGTGACTTGTTACACTGACTCTATAAGTACCTGCTCCTCTCCCACAAAGGCATTCACAGGCATCCCTCCACTGTGAGAAACGGTGAGGGAATTTTTATCAGTCTTTCACCTTTGTTTTACCAGAGGTAAAAAATTAAATTAATATGTTCTATTACTTAAGAAAAATATTTTTAAAAAATATATTTTTGAAAAATATATTTTTGAAAAATATATTTTTGAAAAATAAATTTTAATAAACAATTAAAAAAATCAATTTTCAAAACCTTGGTTTTTTGTTGGCTACCAATAAAAAATCAAGCTTTTGAAAATCGATTTTGTTTCCTTGGCAACTAATATTGGCCCGATGCTGGCTACCGATCATTGGCAGTAGCGTGATCATCCCAAGCAAAAACCAATGGTGGTCCAATGATGGTTGCCATTAATGTTCCAATAATGGAACGGAGTTGGCCAAGCATGGCCCATTATTGAACCAATCGTTTACTTCCCATTGGGTGAGAATGAATTAAATGGCCGTCGGGGACGCCGAAGCAGACGCGCATCTCGGCTTCGTGGTGAGTCTCACGCGCACTCGTTTTAAAGATTTCCCGATGGTAATCGATGCGCGCCAGTCAGTAATTATGTAATTTATCGACTGTCGGAAAGAGTTCACAAAGAGTTCGTTTCAGGCGCGGATTCAGAAGCGAATTTTAGGGGAGGGCGATTCGTAAATTAAAACCTTATAGTAATGAAGGCATAGATATATTAACCCTTTGCGTAACAGTGGGTCGCTCAGCGACCCACCTTTTCCTTCTCAGTTTTCAGTATTTCTATGGCATATTTATTAATAAATTTAGGGTTTTTTTCCGGGCATGTTCCTCATACCTAAACAAGTCTAAGAAAACTGTTGATTCACAATTTGTTAATAATAAAAATATTATAAACAAATAAATAACAAAAAATAATGCTTCTTTTTCAGAAAAAATTCATTTTCTACTTATTCTTACTAATTTTTGAGATGATAATTTTTTTTCTTTACAAATTAGATCCTAAACTATATTTACAATTACTTTTTTGAAATTTTTTTTATAATTTTTAATAATAAATAACAATTTTTTGTAATATTTTATGAAATAAAAGTATTTCAGATGAAATTTCAAACCTATTTTCATAAAACTCGTTACTCGGGGGTTTTTGGTGTCGCTGAATACGAATCTAGCATCAGATTTTTAAAATTCAAAATGGCGGATCCAATATGGCGGACGCGAAAATTAAAAATGAACTGAATTTGCTTGAAACTGGTTACTCAGGGGTTTTTGGGGTCGCTGAATACGAATCAGGCATCAGATTTCCAAAATTCAAAATGGCGGATCCAATATGGCGGACGCGAAAATTAAAAATAAACTGAATTTGCTAGAAACTGGTTACTCAGGGGTTTTTGGGGTCGCTGAATACGAATCTGGCATCAGATTTTCAAAATTCAAAATGTCGGACGCGAAAATTAAAAATAAACTGAATTTGCTTGAAACTGGTTACTCAGGGGTTTTTGGGGTCGCTGAATACGAATCTGGCATCAGAGTTTCAAAATTGAAAATGGCGGATCCGATATGGCGGACGCGAAAATAAAAAATGAACTGAATTTGCTTGAAACTGGTTACTCAGGGGTTTTTGGGGTCTCTGAATACGAATCTGGCATGAGTATTAATAAATTTATTAATAAACTTAGAAGATTCAAAACGTTCGGATAAAATTAAAAAGTAATATCAAAAGTGAATGAATCCTGACAATCCACAGTCAGGTAACTCGTTTAACGTAAAATCCTCTTTATAGTATTTCTGTCTATAAAAAAAAAGAATTAATTTTTTGATACTGAATAGAATGTACCATTTTTGACAATCCGATTGAACAAACTGTAGATATTAGTAAAGATTTGCTAACCGATGAGTAACTGAAAATGTCAAACTTAATGCAGGATGTGATGTAAAAAATACACAAACAATAATACTGCTTCTACTCAACAAAATACCTTCTTTCAACGTAAAAGCTATATTAACCTGTTGAGAGAATCGTTAGTAATAGTTTCTCGAATGTCGTTTGTTTGAATGAAGTTGATACTTACCTTTGGAGGGAATCGTTCGTGTTAGTCTGTCGTTTGTCATTTGTTTGTTTGAAGTCGGTACTTACCTGTGGAGATAATCGTTCGTGTAAGTCTGTTGATTGTGATTTGTCCGATTGTAGCCGATACTCACCTGTGGAGGAAATCGTTTGTGTTAATTGTGTCGATTGTCATTTGTTTGATTAAAGTCGGTACTTACCTGTGGAGAGAATAGTTCGTGTAAGTCTGTCGTTTGTCATTTGTTTGTTTGTCCGCCATATTGGATCCGCCATCTTAAATTTTGAAAATCTGATGCCAGATTCGTATTCAGCGACCCCAAAAACCCCCGAGTAACGAGTTCCAAGCAAATTCTGTTCATTTTTTATTTTCGCGTCCGCCATATTGAATCCGCCATCTTGAATTTTGAAAATCTGATGCCAGATTCGTATTCAGCGACCCCAAAAACCCCCGAGTAACGAGTTCCAAGCAAATTCTGTTCATTTTTTATTTTCGCGTCCGCCATATTGGATCCGCCATTTTGAATTTTGAAAATCTGATGCCAGATTCGTATTCAGCGACCCCAAAAACCTCAGAGTAACGAGTTCCAAGCAAATTCTGTTCATTTTTTATTTTCGCGTCCGCCATATTGGATCCGCCATCTTGAATTTTGAAAATCTGATGCCAGATTCGTATTCAGCGACCCCAAAAACCCCTGAGTAACGAGTTCCAAGCAAATTCTGTTCATTTTTTATTTTCGCGTCCGCCATATTGAATCCGCCATCTTGAATTTTGAAAATCTGATGCCAGATTCGTATTCAGCGACCCCAAAAACCCCCGAGTAACGAGTTCCAAGCAAATTCTGTTCATTTTTTATTTTCGCGTCCGCCATATTGGATCCGCCATTTTGAAAATCTGATGCCAGATTCGTATTCAGCGACCCCAAAAACCTCAGAGTAACGAGTTCCAAGCAAATTCTGTTCATTTTTTATTTTCGCGTCCGCCATATTGGATTCGCTATTTTGAATTTTGAAAATCTGATGCCAGATTCGTATTTAGCGACCCCAAAAACCCCCGAGTAACCAGTTTCAATAGATTTCAATGAAATGAAAAATGTATGACTCAAAGGGTTAATACCTAACATTGCACTGTGAGTAAGTGTGTTGGGGGGGGGGCGATCGCCCCTTTCGCCCGACCGTGGATCCGCACCTGGTTCGTTTAGTCTCCGCGAGGGGCACTGCTTGACAACGTCTGGCAAGATGGCTACGGACAGTGTTTTGACAGCTGATGTCCCCGTCGTTGGATATTCGTATTTCTGTCACTCAGTATGACCGGTATTTATTTCCAGTAATAAATACAAGGAAGCACATTCCTTGTTAGACAAATACGAAGTAATATCTCGGCAGTGGTCCCGAAGTTTGGAAATCAGGAACTCGCAGTGTTAATTTTTACATGAAATGATAAATCGAAGTATCAGTCTTCTTATGATTAATTAGTTGCTTTAACCAGCGATCTGGCGGTTCGCAAAAATACATGATTTAATAATAATTTAGTAAGCTAAATTTTACAAAAGTGGATAATTAAAAAGTGATTTTTCTCGGAAGGAGAAAATAATCGGCGATTCCCGATTTGGCGTGATTAATATACAATTTAAAAGTCCTATTATTGACAAAAAAGTTAATTTGCAAAATTTTCTTTTGTAATCTAACAAGCTTAAATAAAAATAAAGGGATTCCAACTTTTCTGCTTTTTCTTTTGTTAATGACTAAACATTAGAGCTGTGCTTTATATTCAGTGCACAAGCAGGAACATTTAATAATTTTTTTGCAAAATTTGAGAGATCAGGACACTCTTTGATCGACATGTTCCAAAAAACTGTGGGTGAGATTAATTTTTTTCAATTAGTTTCGAAAATATTCCTCTTTTTCTATATACATGGTTAATTGTTCTAAACCATCATTAGTTAAGTAATCCATTAAAAATTTGTAAGCTTCAGAACTTGCGCTGTCGTTAAATTGTAACCTTGATATTGTGGATGTAGAAGGTTGGCTACAAGAGAGGCTGGATGCAAAATTACATTATTTTCAAATGTTGAACGGATCTTATTGTTTGTGGTTTCAGAATTTAAGATTATCACATTTTCAATGGCATCAACCATGAAGAAATTTTTAGCTTTCATTTTATTAGCTATAGCAGCTACTGACTGATAAGCCTTGAATATATTAACCACTTCTGATTCAAAACATCGGTCGAATAATAATTTCACGTTATTCTCTTTAAATTCATATGAATTACCCGCTTCGACTTTTCTTAAAATTGTTACATTTTCAATGAAAAATAAATAAGCTTCATGATGTATTTTCCAAGTAGGTTTCTTCAGCAGTATTTTGTAAAATTTTTTGACACAATTCACAAAGTCCGGCATACTTGCCATTATCTTTTTAAACTAATTTAAATTTTAATGCATGCCAGGATGAATGCTTGGGTCTTCCGACTCTACTGGACATTTAAATTTAATTTTTTTCATAGCCGCGAGCATTAACTTTCTTACTAGAACTGCAAAACTACATATATACAAACATGCATCCCGACTTACGCGAAGTATAATGTTCTCCTGAACAAATAGAGCACTAATTATTGTTCTGTTGATCTTCTGATGCTAGATTTACTTTTGCCGGTTGAAAACTTGATGAAGCAACTTTAGTGTTAAAAGTCTGGTGAGCAAGAATTCAACGAGTTTTTCTAAGTAGAAGGGTCTTGAGAAGAGCCTAAGGGTGCAGTCCCATGCTGAGCAGAAAACAGAATGCAAAGCAGAATTTCGTGAGTGCAAGAGAAATAGTCAGATATCAATGTCCTTTCCACTCTCACGAAATTCTGCTTTACATTGTGTTTTCTGCTCAACATGGGACCGTACCCTAAATGAAGCTCGGAAGCTTTGATTAAGTCGTAATCCAGTTTTTAGCAAATGAGCCGCAGTTTCTTTAAGACATTGTTTTAAGTAGTGTTTAATGTGTTCTATGTTTACATCATATAATTTAGTTAAATACTGGATGTAATAAAAATTAAATAATTTTACATATATAAGTAATAATATTTTCCACAAAGCACCAAAAACTGACTAAAAGTTGAAATTAACTTGACTTGAAACATTCTGAATAATTAGTCCTAAAACACATCAAACTTGAAAAAAATCTATAAATGTCCGCAGTTTTTTAATGTTGGGCGGTGAAGCTGACTTAACATTGCATTAAAGTTTACAATTCTTTAGAAAATTTTAATGAATTTTCTAACAAAAAGAAAAAATTTAAAACATTTTTAAAAAAACGTAGAAATTTTTGAATAATTTAAAAAAAAATTTAACTTTCTTGCAATGTTTTGTCAGCGTTTTGCGCCCAATATTAAAAAATAACGGACATTCAAAGATTTATTTGAAGTTTCATGAGCTTTGAGACTAAAGAGTCATAAAGTTGCAGTAAAGTTAATTTAAACGTTCAAAAAATTTTCAGTGGTGTGTGAGTTGCTTATAAAATTTATTTCCAGATGCATTCTTCACGTGATAAAAATGATCACAGGACAACAAAAGATTTCGATGATAAAGATTATAACCGCCATCACAAAAAGCATCGACATAAAGCAGAGAGAGACAGACAAAAATATGATAATACGTATACACGTGAAAAGGATGATGACAGTTTTTCTTTCACAAAATATCGACGAGAATTAAACAGTTTACTTCGCGTAAATGACAATCTAATAAACAATAATGATGATTTTTGGAAATTTGTCCAAAAGTATGAATGTTTAGAAAAACAAAAGGATGGAAAGTCTCAAACTTTTGATTTGAATACCTCGAATAAATTTGGACTCCCTTCTTCTTATGACATAATACATAGTTTTAATTTTTCACTTGCTTGCGAGAAGCAATTATTTGACAGAGTTGGAATGTCTAATAGTTTAACAGATGAGAGACTAGAGAAATTTAAAAATATTATTATTATGTACTTGGGTTTTAAGCAGAAAGAAAAATTTTCAAAGCTTAAAAAGTTGAGAAATGATCAAGAAAATTTGCCTGTTTTTAAGGATCGACAGAAAATTGTTGATTCTGTAAAAAACGAAAGAGTTGTAATAATAGCAGGCGACACTGGATGTGGTAAATCAACTCAAATTCCTCAATACCTAGCTATGAATGGCTTTGTCAACGTAGGTGAGTTCTTTATTAGTTTCATCTGTTTGTAAATATTTATAATTAATTCTTTATAATATATATGGAAATTTTACGATATTTCATAACAGCATGTACACAGCCTCGCAGAATTGCATGTATATCCTTAGCAAAACGTGTTGCTTTTGAAACATTGTCTGAAAATTATAACGAAGTGGGTTATCAAATTCGGTTTGAAAAGCAAAGGAATCAACAAACGAAAATCACCTTTATAACTGAAGGATTATTGCTAAGACAGGTTTGTAGGTCATACAATTTTTTCCTTTTTTGTACTGTATAAAAGTAATGGTCTGTTTATTTATGAGTTAGTTTCCCAAAACCGATAGAAGGTTATTTCATAAACCGAAAATTTTCTTTAATAATTTTTTTAAGCACTAAAAGTATAATTTTCACAAATTGTTCCTAAATCCTAAAACTTCTGAATTCTGTTTTATTCTTTGCTCCTTACTGAGTACCCGAAATAAAATAAAATTTTAATTTAGAAAAGTAAGACTTTACTGTCACAAACTTAGATAAATGAATGTATAATAATTAAAACTAGATATCATCAGAAACAGGAGCATCACAATATGATGTCATAGTTTTGGATGAAATCCATGAACGTCACTTGTACGGAGATTTCCTATTGGGTATTACAAAGTGCCTTATTCACCAAAGGCCGGAACTGAAATTAGTTTTGATGTCTGCTACAATTAATATACAACTTTTTCATGATTATTTCACAAGAGAAAATGTAAAGATTATTCAAGTATGTATATCACAAACTTAACTTGAAATATTGGCAGGAAATAACGAAATCTTATTATATATTATTTTAACAATAGGTTCCTGGCAGACTATATCCAATACAACTGTTGTACAGACCTATGAGTTCTGAAGAACGGACTTTTAAAAATGATCGATTCAATCCCAGTCCTTATGTGCAAATTCTGCAACTGATTGATCAAAAGTATTCAAGTAATTTTTTATATTTAGTATTAAACTAAAACATAATTATTTTTTAAGTTAAAAATTTTTAAAGAAATAATCAACAACTGGTTTTCTATAAAAGTAAAGAGAACTGATGGATTTTCCTTGCATGTAGATTATTAACTTAAGTTTTTCTTGCTTAAGGTAATGAAAAAGGAGATTTACTCATTTTTCTAAGTGGAATGAGTGAAATTACAGCTGTAGTTGAAGCAACTAAAGAATACAGTTTACAAAAACAGAATTGGATTATTTTGCCGTTACACAGTACTCTGTCTATATCAGAACAAGATAAAGTAAGTTTCAAAAAATACATTTTTCAGAAATATTTATTTAATATTTTATATACGCTTAAAAGTATTATAATCCCCAACGTTTAAGCAAAGCTCCCACTGTTATATGAATTGAATAATGCTTTAAAAGTATAAGACTTGTGTTAGATAGATAGATAATATAATCGGTTCGCCCGGAATTCCAATTATATTTACGTGAAAAAGGTTGGGGAGGAAAAGAGAAAGAAGTATAAACAAATAGGTATTATTTATCAAACTATTTATTGACTTACTCGGTGTAGATATCAAGCTAATTCCAGAAGTGTAAACTCACATTTAGGTAATGTCAACACAATACACGTCGCGAAATATGCTCTCGAGGGAAACTACGAGACAAGTGTCGCGTCTGCTCGCGAATTCGGCTATTGATGCCCTCGAGGCCCTTCGGCCGTTTCCGGGTTCAATCGATTCACTCGCGACAGACGCAGGAAGATTTGTAATGCCACGTTACAATAAATACTTCATGAACCGCAAGTCCGTCTCCACAAAAACTCTCCAATCTAGCACGAAGAATGAAAATTTCATTATCAAAAAAGAGTAAAATACCTTCATCACATTCTAATTTTCGTAAATAAGAAAGAAAAGGCTGAAGAATTTTTCCAAATCCATACTTAACAACATCTGCCTGAGAACTAAGTGTAAGCGTGTGTATACTATCCTGCGAGTTCTTATGATCGGGTAAATTAGAAATTAGTAAAATGCTCTTAACTTGTGAACACCTATTTTTGACCCCAAAGGGTTTACTTCCTCTAACTCATCGTAATATAATTTAATTCTCAGAGCATTTTTATTCTTTTGGAAAAGGGCATTATTTTTAAAATTCTGCCTGTCAATGAAAGAAGTTAACATCCCATCAGTTGAGATTTCTTCTTCAAGAATTGCTTTTCTAACATCGGCGTTGCTTAAAACTAGTTTAAGTACATCCATTATGGAAACATCATTTATTATGGAAACGTATTGATATTTATCCATAATTTGCTTTTGAACAAAAGTGCAGGACTTGTTATCAAAAACAGTATCTGGACATAAACTAGAGGCATTTCCTGAGGTTTAATGTAGTTCCATTTTTGAACTAATGCATTTATTTGTAGCTCAAAAGTTTTTAAATTTTCGAATAGATTATTAAATTGTAAAATTTTGTTAATATCTTGAATAGTATTTTCATGTATGAATTCGTCAAGTCTTATGCGTGAATTTATTTTTGTTTTTAACAATTGGTAAGTATTTGAGAGAAGTTCTTCATAATCCTGAAGTTAAGTTGTCGTCATACTGCCTATCATAGGAGGAAGAGCTTGAAATTTATAAATCATTCTAATAATATGCGATTCTATATCAAAATTACAATTTTCAAAGTCATTTTTTTGACCTTCCGGTACTTCTATATTTTGATAACCATGCAAATCGTCATTATCGCTATTAATATTATTATTGTCAATTTAATTTTCATCAGGAATGTCTACTATGTCATTCAAAGTAATTTCGTCATGCTCTTCATTTCCTGGATGATTAATTCTCAAATGTTTTCTTAAGTTAAAAAAATAATCAAAATTTCTCTTACAACCAATTTGAGAACAAATGAAACCTGTATTATCTATGCGACGAGTCAACATAATATTATGAAGTGTAGAAAAGTGTTGACCTAAACCTTTTATTCTACTTGGTACTAATTGACTGCACATAAAACAGTTCAAAGAATCCACGTTGATAAGACGATTCCAAAAATATCTGAAAAATAGATTAGTCTATATTTGAAAATACATTTCTTTAAAGTAAATATATTTTTATACACGTCGCAAGAAATTGCCAATATTCAGAAAAGAATTATGCCAACGTTTCGGCGCTAAAAATACTTGATATTACTTAGTAAATCCCATAAAATCATGAGTATCTTTGTTTTTAAGGTTTTTGGATATTCGCCCGATAATGTTCGCAAATGTATAGTATCTACAAATATTGCAGAAACATCAATTACAATAGATGGGATTAGATTTGTAGCAGACAGTGGCAAAGTCAAAGAAATGAGTTATGATCCATTATGTAAAATGCAACGATTAAAGGAATTCTGGATTAGTAAAGCCAGTGCTGAACAAAGAAAAGGCAGAGCAGGCAGAACTGGACCTGGAGTTTGCTTTCGGTATATGTTCCACTTTGTAGAAATTATTTGTATCTTTTATTTATAACATAACTTAATTTGTTATTGTAAACTAATTAAACTTTTTGATTTAAGAATTTTAACAAAAGGTCATTCTTTTCTAACAATACTAAACTAAAGATAATTTTAGATTGTATTCCGAAGAAGAGTATACAGCTTTAGAAAAATTTTCAACTCCTGAGATGCAAAGAGTTCCTCTTGATTCTCTTCTTTTACAAATGGTTGCAATGGGATTACCAGATCCACGAAAGTTTCCGTTTATAGAATCTCCTCCTGCCAAAAGTATAGAAAATTCGATTGTTTCATTAAAGGAGCAAGTATGTATGAATGTTCTATTTATAATTTTAGGAATGTTATTAATCTGTTCAATTGCTTGCTACTTCGGAATTATAAACCAGAAAGTCCCCTTAAGTGAATGAATTCCTCTAAATAAAATCTTATGAGAATTCTTAATTACTCTTGTTGAATTAATAACAAGTTTTATATTTCTGTAACACTTTAAATTTAAAAGATGAAATATAAAGTTTAAATTTATTAGCGTGTGCTAATAGCTTTCCCTAAGCTACATAAGCAATGTCCTTAACTTTATTCAACATATTTTGTTTAGGAAGCTTTAACGGAAAACGAAAAATTAACAAGTGTTGGAAGAACATTAGCACGATTACCTGTTGATTTATGTGTCGGAAAAATGTTAATCGTGGGATCAATTTTTCATCAAGTTGATCCAGTTCTATCTCTTGCTGCTGCATTAAGCGTTCAGAATCCATTTACTAATAAAGCTTATAGAGATGTGGAATGCGAGGTTAGTAATACTGATTCTTGTGATTTAATGTTCTACAATCATTACACCCAAAAAAATCCCTATGACATTATTAACTATCAACCTACAGTTAATCTTAACCTAGTAAAATAAATAAGGATTCCTAAACATTGTAATTATTATTTTATTCAAGACTTCCAGGAAAACTTTAGAATCTGATCACGGCGATCCCATTACAATTTTAAATGCATATAGAGCTTGGTTAGAAATCAAGGAAGAGAGCGGAATGAGGCAAAAATACGGAAACAATAAAAGCAAAATCTGGTGTAAAAGGCGAGGACTTGAAGAACAGAGATTTTACGAAATAACAAAGTTAAGGGCCCAATTTAAAGATTTACTTCAGGTAAGAAATTAGCACATTTAATCAATGATACAGTTACAGTTACAATGATACAATTACAGTTCTGTAATTTTTCATCAATTATATTTGTTGAACTTTAGGATTGCAATTTGCAAAAGAATTTATCAGAAAACACTAATTTGACAAGTCAGGAAAGAGTTTTACGACATGGAGAATTAAAACTTTTGAAACAGATAAAGCGAACTTATAAGCAGAATGAACCTAGAAATCGCAAACAACTGAAATTAGATTCATCTCACATTGAAATTGAAGACGATTCCAAAGAAACGGATGAAATTGATATTAAAGATGTCGAATTTAGAATGAAGAATGACTTGTCACAGGTTCAAAATTTAGTGACAGCAACAACAGCTTGTAGTTATAAAGATCTTACGATGTTGAAGTTAATTTTATGTAGTGGTTTATATCCTCAATTTGCATGTGCAGATGAATATAACTACTGCAAGGTACAAAACTATTTGTTGAACTATTTAAAACTATTTATCTTCATATTCTTATATTCGGGAATTAATTCTTCATGATGATAATTATGTTACAGTCGATGAATGAGCAACTTTATCACACAAAAGTAAAGCCCTATGTCGGTCTACATCCATTAAGCTTTTTTGGAAATCATCCACAAATATTGCAGCTTGAGGAGCCAGATATTATAACAATACCTGGATTCAAAACTTCCTCGCCTGTTAGTGCAAAACATCAGTTACTTGTATATTTGTACGTATGTTGTGAATAAATTTCGTCTAATGATTATCACTATTTTGTGTAATTGGATCATTAAATTAATTATATTCTTTTTGACAGGTCTCTTTTAGAAACTACCAAGCCATATCTTGTGAATACGTTCAGAATGCCCGCTGCTCAAACATTGCTGCTTTTTTCTCGGGAAATCGAAACGAATTCAACGTTTTCAATGTAAGAAAATCTTAAATTGCGATATTAATTCTTTTATGTTTATTTAGATTTAAAATTGTCTTTTTGGCTTTATAGAAGATATAATTTAATCAACATTCTTTAAGAGTATGAATTTAGTATTTATGAAATACAACATGAAATTCAGAATCACTTCCACTAGAAACTCCCCGAAATACGAGTTTTGAAACTTGAAATTTGTAAATGAACTTTCAAAACATTTCTTAAACCATTTATAATTTTTTGTCTGCCATATTACATCTGCTATTTTAAATTCTTGAAGATTTCTGTTAATTTCAAAACCAGTAACTTTAAAAACCTTTGAGTAACAAGTTTTAAAATAATTCAAACCATTTTTAATTTTTTTGTCTGACATATTGTAGAGAGCATTTTGAAGTTTTAAAATCTGACATTAAATTCAAAATCAACGACCCGAATACCCCTAAGCAACAAGTATGATCAAAATCAATTCAAGTCAATGCCTTTACTTAACCATAGGAATTTCATAATGATCGGTTGGTATTTTGTTAATGACGTAGTTGATGTTGCAGAAAATGTTGTCCTCTACCGCTGTCTTATTCAATAGGAAAGTTTTACCGGGAATTTTTTTTTAAAAGTCAACAAATAAAACTAAAAAGTAAAAAGACAGAAGACGAAAAACAAGTCTTCTTAGATTTATCGATAGGAGTAAATAGTCCTACAGACAAACTTAAGTTTTTAATAGAAAAGTGACGTTAAAACAAGGTCACTCATTTATCAAAGAAAAATTTAGAAGATAATTTACCTAATGCTTAATTATTTTAATTATCAAAAGAGCATACAAATACAAGAATAACTATTTCGGAGTATCATGAAGAATATTTTGAATTGAAGATATAATCGTAGTTTTTTGCTTGAATCAAAGCTAACAAGGAATTAACCGTCTGTAATATTACCAAACGATCGTGTTCGTTCATGGCATTAGACAAGGCAACCATTGGAATCTTGGTTTTACGCCAAGGCTGCAGTGAAAATCATCCAATGGAGTCAAATGTCCCGTTACTGCAGCAGGAGGCTCAAGAATTGGATCCAATAAGGAGATATCTGGTCTTTTTTTAATTTCGAAGTATAAATCTAGACTTTCAGCAAGGAGAAGAGTTTTAGTCTCTTCTCTATTACAGTTATAGATATATCGATGTATTAAGATTCCGAACTGCAAATCATAATTAGGGCAAGCATACGGTGAAGCTGGGTGCTTTCTTTTACAATTCTTACATTTGGGTTTATATTAACCCTTGGGAAAATATATTGAGGAATGTTTCCCAGCGCAAGGCTCACACGACGGGTAAGCTGAGTTACACTGATCTATTGTGTGGCAGAACCTCTGACAACGGAAGCATCTCCTAGGTCATGGAATAGATGGAGTAATAGACACTAAATACTCCCAATCGAGATATTACGTGGAAGGATTGGTCTGTTGAATGTAAATTCTATTTTATCATAAGTTGTATTATTTTCGTCAACAATTCTACGAATGGTTGATCGCTAGTTGAGTAGATTTTAATTGTGTCCTTAATTGAGCGAGTAGGGGAAAAACATGTGGTGAAACCTTTCTCCTAAAGAAAAGGATTGGGTACTAAGACTTTGTAGCCCGCTTGAATTAGATCTTTTGACAATATAAGAGAGAGTTTGCGCTGTTCCCATTCTCGCATTGAATTTTAATTTGGTTTTCCTCACTCCTTATGATCATTTTGGTGGACCCACAAACTACGAATGGCTGTCAGCCACATCATCTTGTATTGGGGTACTGAAATTTATTTGGATCAGAGAAGAATAGGGGTGGCTTTCCTCCGAAACGTTCTTCTGCAAAAAACACATGTACCTTAAGTTGTTCAAGCTTTTGTGTGAATTTCTCAACGAAAGAATTTACATTCATCTTTATGGACTCTAACGTGGCTCTAACGTTACCCAGGCGCAAAATTCTACTTCACTAATGTCATTTTTCTCAAAAAAATCGAATCAGGACACTGATTGTAGTTGTTCAGGTAGCAGGAAGATATTGGGGTACTACAAATGATTTTACGAAGACAATCATTGTCACCTTTTAATGGACTTTCCAAGTTGAATGCAAAACAAGCAACGTTAAATGCTTCCAACATATTCCCCGTATTCTGGTGCAACGTGCATAGACAAACCGCATGTGTACCGCTGCTGTCTGCCAAAACACAGTGCTCAGGTCTCAGTTGACAGAACTGCGTAATACCGAGAGAATTGTCAGGGCAGCTTTGGTTGTAAAGTAGATACAACACATTTTTTGAGTCACGTAAAATCATTCTTTTCTATACATGGCTTCTTTTTCCATCTAACTGATTCACGTTAACGTTAATAAGTAATTATAATAAGATGAATGAGCGGAAAGGACGAATTTATCAGAAGTCGTAAGAAATTGCTACGAAACAGGCCGCCACAAACTAAGTGACAAGAACATTTGTAAATTCTAGCAAAAAATTTGTAAAGCATTGATCAAACCTCTGCTTTAACAATTCTAAAATCTCTGCTACATCATTTTTATCTGATTTACTTGTCGTTGATTTACCAAAGGCTTTATCAAATATAGCTGCTAAAAATGAATCACTTCAAACTGAACCTCTTGTGAATACGACTCCGAATGAAACTTTCGCCTTTTAATGTTACGAAGATGCTGGATCTTCAATTGCGAATTGTAGATTGGCAAAATCTCACAAACCTCGTCCTCGCGTCTCTCGTAAAATTTGAACTCCAACGGTCGACCAACGATGCAACAACCAAAACTCCCACAAGAAACAATTCCAACAAATGATTTAAACACAAATAAAAAGATAATTAAAATTAACTTTAATTTATTTAAACACACAAAGAAATAAAATTAATGTTACACGAATTAATAATAATTAATATAAAAGAAAAAGGCAAATAATTCGAATAATAATTAATCTTCTCCAAGAAAACGATCCTTGTTAGGTTCTCACAAAAACGCAAACCTTCTCTCTCATGACTATTACGATCCACCTGTTAAGAAAAAAGGTGAGGGCAGTCTTGGCCAATGCGACGTCTTCCCATCAATTACTCATGCGCGTGATCTTTTAATAATTGACTTGACGGGAGATCGACACACATCGCTGAATGAAACACACTATAGCAGAAACTTGCAAAAGGCGACAAAACGATGCGAAAAGAGAGACAAGTACAACAAGTTACAACTCTGCAGACATTTAATTAAAAGAGGGAAGTCTGATATAAACCAAAGTCGTCGTTTTTCATCTACGATATGTTCAATGCTCACAACTTCTTCAATCACATCACAAAAATTTAACACACTGCGATTTCACGACATCGATGTGAATAGCTTCTTTCATTCAATAATTTAATCTAGAGAGAAATAAATAAAAATTAAATAATTATTAAACTTTTCAAAATAAAAAATTAGATTTCTTAAATATTTGTAATTAGATAAAATAAATGTTAACTTAAACGTTTTATTTACCATGTCTGCCTTTTAAATCTATTTCTGCAGTTTTCGATTTTAACGCTTCAAAAACATTTTCATTTTTTGAAAGCCATACGCGATTTTCATGCATTTCATTTTGCCTCTTCGTGTATTTTGGAGAAATCTTATTTTCCATTAAATGCTTCATTGACGATTGGACTTTCAAAACGTAGCGGAAAGGAATTTTTCATTTTAGCACTTGTGTTAAACAGTTGAAAATGCTTTGGAACAGTATTGTATTTCAGGCCTGGTTGAATTCTTTTAGAGCTGAATTCTGTTTCATCCGATATTTTGATAGCACTCTATCAAATTGTCACCCTATGAAAAACAAAAAATTTTTCTTTCAATGTTTCTCCATTTGGAACAAACACTTCTCCAAAGTTGTAAAGTTTGAGGTTATACAAAATATAGGGATATACTTCCGATTAGTGCATATGTCAGATTCTTATGACACTTCATATACTTATGTATTTTGGTACAAATATAATAATGAAAATTGTCGCAAATTTGATTTTCATGGTCAAAACCATAAAAAAACACCATAAAATTGAGGTTTTCGCGTTTAACTCGTAGAAAACGCAAAATTTCAAAAAATGTTTCATGCAAAAGATATAGATTTTACAAAAAATACACATTTTTTGTTTCCACTATTTTTGTTTAAAATTGTTAATTTTCGAGAAAAATGCAAATACCATAAAATTCCTTAAAAAGTGCTTAAAATATACATTTACCTGAAAGGACAACTGATTATAACAAAATACAGTTTTTTATGTATTTTGATACGCTGATTACGAATATCATCATGAAAATTGTCGCAAATGTGATTTTTATGGTAAAAACAATAAAAAACAAAAAAAAAATTTAAAACCATCCTCAACGATTGGTACGTTTACCCTATGAATTTTTTAAATCAAATTGTCAATTTTTATCTGTTTATAAATTTTTTAATAGTATTAATAATTTCTATTAAATCTTTTTTTGCATTTTTTATTTTATTCTATTTTTTTGTATTTTTATATGCGTTTTTTAAATCAAATTGACAATTTTTATCTGTTTATACATTTTTTAATATTAATAATTTCTATTAAATCTTTTTTTTGTATTTTTTATTTCATTTTTATTTTTTTGTATTTTTATATGCATTTATATGCATCCAAGATCCTTCAACGACACGACCACGTTCATATTTTCTACGGACAATTTTGCATTCATCTATTTCCACTGTTTCGCCAATTCCACCTATTTGTCCTTCTTCTTGAACAGATATTCGAGAGCATGCATGCACACTTCCCGACAATATGAAAACTTATCAGAAATTGCGTGACATCATTTAATGAACGCTCTCTAAAATTTGCAAAATTCAAGATGGTGTTTCCAATATGGGCACTAAAAAATTTTGAAATTAGTTAGATTTGCTTGAATGGAGAAAAATTAAAATATTGATAGGTTTTGTTCAAAATGCGTTACTCAAGGGTTTTTGATGTTACCGAATACGAAT